CTGGGCGCTTTCACAATCCGAGGATTCCGCGGGCCGCGACGAGAACGAGCCACGAGGCTGTTTCGGCGAATCTTGCGGAAAATAAATCCTGGGGCTATTGGACGGCCACGGCTCTCGAGGTCGACGAGACCGAGAGAACCAATGGAAAATGCATCCCTTGTCGCGCTATGCATCGCAGCCTCGAGACTCGGTTTGAAACCGATAATTACGGGAGGTAACGAAAGCGCGCGGACCCTTCGACTTTCTATCGAATTATGATTATAATTAAACGATTCCGTACTCGCCCTGGTCATTTCTCCAATTGGCCCTCAACCCTTAAACAATGGACCAACGAATCCGCGCGGATGTGCGGGGTCGCAAGCGCGTGTTAATCGGCGATCTTTGTTTGCCAGGGAGTATACATCACATCCTCCTACTTTGCAGAGATAATCGAAAATAATTATTCGTTAGATAAATACGATCGTAGTGCGCGATAATGCGCTGAAATTTATGACGAGCTGCCGCTTTATTAATGAGACCGTGCGGGAGCGTGCGCTTGGCGCCGATTGTTTACCAACCCTCGGCCACACACTCTTACTCTGTCTGTCTGTCTCTCTCTCTCTCTCTCTCTCTCTCTCTCTCCTTCTTTATCCTTACCAGCCGATACTTATAATTGATTCACGTTCTCCAACCAAGTTTTAATACTACGAGATGAAAGACGCTGATTTTATTATTGAATTCGCGATGCAGCTGCCATATTAGACTAGTCGATGCATCTTACTGGAATTTCGTTACTCTTACTCGTTAAACGTAAACTCTTGTTATTTTTAACAATTCCGCGACTCGAGTCGAAAGCGTCTATTCACTATAAATATCGTGAAATCCGCAATATTATTAAAGCGCAGCGATATAAATTCTCTCTCAAATATTTAGTATTGTCTCCTAATAATGTCGCGTTCGTACGCATTAATATAGTAATAAAGACTTGGTCCTTCCTTTCAACTAACATTACTACCACCAATCTTAGAGCTACAAAATTTAGGAGCTTAATATTTCAGTTACAAGAGAATTACGCAGGCGCGATGAAATAAAAAGGGCGTATATTGTCTGCTTGAGTCTACATTGCAGTTGTTTTGGAGCCTGGAGCGATCGGCCGCTCGAATGCAAAACGTCAAAAGAGAGAGACAGGGACAGAGACAGAGAGAGAGAGAGAGAGAGAGAGAGAGAGAGAATCTTCACTATTTTGATATTCGCCTACGCGCGATCGTACATCACGCGAGCTCCTGCAAGTGGGCGGACAGAACGTCAGCCACGGCGCTGACGTCTTGCGAAATTGAATCTAAAGCTTGAGACCAAAAACTCTCTCTCTCTCTCTCTCGTGCGTACCAGTTCCATTCTCTCTCTCTCTCTCTCTATCTCTCTCTATCGCTGTCTCTATCTCTGTCTCACTGTTTCTCTGTCTTGCTTATCTCATTCTTTTCTTACCCGGGAGCAGTGAGGTAGTTTCGAGCTCGCGAGGGAGGTCGCAAATCATCACCTTGGAACGTTTACTATGTTAGATTGCCAAAGATTACGGCTGAGTACTGCTCGCTCCTTGCGGCCACCACTGTTCATATTTCGAGAAAGGAAGGGGGACGAGCTGGTGCGAAAAGAATCTGCAAACTCGATACACCACAGAAGAAATGCCGTCGGAGAAGTGAAAATCGATTCACGGAAATAAAGTGCTAGAACGTGTATTTACGTTAACCGCAACAATCCTGGAAATATAATGCTACGCGACGGTTGAAAAGGAAAGGATTGTTCGCTTGCTTGTTTCAAAAAATAAATATTGCTTCCTTGGATTTTCATTTTATTTTCACTCGCTATGCGTCACGAAATGTATGAATCATAAAATTGAAAAGATGATAAGGTCGATACGCAACTTTCACTTATAATCACATATAATACATTGATCTTCGCGCTTATTTAATTTTACAACACTACATCGCATAAGTTGATTTAAGGCAATTTAATGTAGATAAATTTAACGCTGAATATGTTGATAAATCGTAATAATGACGTTGCACGTCGCATTTCCAATTGCCTTTTATTATATTTCTATAATAACAGATTAAATATATTATATTTCTATAATAACAGATTAAATATATTTACTTAACAATCGAATCTATTATGGGACTACGTACTATAGATTATTTCCATATAATGTTCGTTCACTAATTCATTTTATAAATTATTTAATGGCAAATTGGTCTGTAAAATATTAATGTGGTAATATTAAATATAAAGGATGAGACATGATTGTATTTGATTAGTAAGTAATTACGTTGGATTATGGACTCCACTCGATTTGGATAATTGGAATAAACGAATGATCGATAAAGAATAAAAAGTATAGTGTTTATTGCAAAAAAATACATTAAAATGTACATATTAATCAATCATAATTTAACAATTAATCGCTCATTAACAATTTATCAAATAATTTTTTTCTTTTCAACAATAATGGAGAATTTCTTTGTAGATGCTTAAGGAGGCCATTCGATGTTTATCAGCGGCAGAATTGAGAAAGGGATATACTATCCGTATAGATAAATAAATATGACCATTAGAAATGAAAGGCTTATTATACTCGAGAGTTGAATTATATATATATCGAATGAAATGGAAAAGTGAGCTGGCTGCTTTACTTTAATTTACTTGCATCTACTTGCTTTCTTAGCATTGCCGAACTCTGTGGGGGGTGGGGTGGGG